TCTCTGCATGATGACCAGTTGTGGGTTTCTCTGTTAATCACCATTTACTGCATAAGGAAACTTCTCTGATGAGAGTTGAAAGATATATAAATCTATGTGTATAAAAATAAATCCTTAGGAGTCACTTTAATACTATATTTAGAAGAATAATAGTATTAGGCTCTCTCTTACGGCCTGTGGACTATCTACAACAACCTCTGCAGGAACTGAAATGGGAAGGTAAAGAAAGAGCTTTTTGGAGGAAATCTGCTAGTGTCATCTTCGTGTTATGACAGTGTATCATGTGTCCACTCTAACATCATTCTTCATTTGATGTTAAGAATGATATCATTTTTAATGGATGATAATGTCAAAAGTCTTTTATAGTGAGTCTAGTATTTAAATAATAGCAATATTTCAACTCAGAAAAATGGTCTTCCACTGAACAATGGACCTTTTAATTTTTTTTTTACTTATTTTTATTTTATGTGTGCTTGCCTGACTGCATGTATGTGTACCACTTGAGTGCCTGGTGCATGCAGAGGTCAGAAGAGGGTATCAGACCACTGGTGCTAGAGTTACAGATGGTTGTGAGCCACCATGTGGGTGCTGGGAACTGTACCTAGGTCCTCTGCAAGAGCAGCAAGTGCTCTTAACTGCTGAGCCATTTCTCCAGCCTCCAGCAGAGCTTTTAAAACAAAACACATACTTCCTTCATCATCTTCTGATGGCATTATACAGACGAGTCTTATCCCCAAGATTAAATTGTAATCTCTTCCTGAAAGACCTTATTTTGCTTGCTTTTTTGTATGCCCTACACTGTATAATATGAAGCTAAGCACACAAAACTTAGATGCTAGGTATTGATTATTCATACAGTAAAGAATCAATGTGGAGACCCTTGAGTCTCCAGTTGTATGGAAAGTTTTTGAAAGAGATCATATTTTTTTCATCTTCGAAGTCTTGAGAATATAAGGAGAGCTGTGGATTTTCTACTTTTCCATATAGTATTTTAGGAACTGGCTTCTCCAAATTTCAACTTCAACCTTTCCTATTAGCTGGAGTCATCATTTCCCTACTTTGCTTTACTTCCCTTCCATGTATGTCACTAGTAGCTTCAAACCAAGTGACAAAATGACAAGCTAGAAGCAGAGAACGAGATGATAGCAGAACTTCAGGTACAAACACTGCCCAGAGCTCATTCAGCAGCAAAGCAATTGCCATGAATTACTTTTTCAACATGGATTCATAAGAGTTTCTAGGAAAAACATCTTAAATTACTATTTTGTAGAGACTGTATTACTGGTACATAATCACAATCTGAATATTAAACATACTAATGGCAATGATTATCATAAATTATAAGTATTAATTAATGATTTCTTAATTAGCCAGGGACCTGGAAGAAAGGAGAGAAAGTAGAATTTCAGGATTTTAGGTCAACGAACAAGGAAAGAAACAAATAACGTAAAACAAAAATTAGCACAGGCAGTTTCAGTATCTTTCAACAGAGTTTTCAGGAGGATGAAGCCCTGCCCCACATCCCATTTCAGCTCTCTCAAAGCCACAGTGAGTGGAGAGGGCTCCTCCCCCATGCTGTTCTTGCAATAGTCACATGTCTTTAACATTCAGACACAGGCATTAAAAACAAGCAAGCAACGAGAAAACTGCTTAGACTGGCATAAAGGGTCGCTCTTCCTGTGAACTGTGACACTGAGAAATAGGGTCTCAGAGTTTCCATGGTCACATTTCCTGCCATTTGAAAAGAAGAGACAGACCCAAATGTGGAGAGGGCAATATTTGAGTCTGAGCCTCTGAATATGGCTGTCTATAGACAGATCTATTCTGACTTCCCAGTTACATGTCCTAAAACACTTTCATCTATATTGTAGGTAAGCTTGGGCTAGGCATCGGTTCCTTGCAACTGAATTTTGTTCAGTACATAGTCTGCTACAGTAGGCAAAGTTGCAGTAATTCAGTCTGAGGGAGACTGGTGATGCAGCTTCCATATTTTTTTTAGCTATAGAGCACTAGATGGTTATATCAAGATGTGTGTCTTTTCTTTTCCCCTCACAGTGAAAGCCGCAGAGCCTAACACTGTGATGTACAGTCATTTTATTAGATTGTGTTTCTTACCAGCCTGGTTTTTTCCATTCACAATAAATCCTTCCTCTTGTGTAATGGTCTGTATTAGCTGTCGGTTATGAAGACAAACAGATCATATCTTCCCTCTTTTCTCTAGACATAATTTATAGCTGATGCATTGATTTTAAGTGAGATAGCCATACAAATTTTAATGTGTACTGAGTTGCATAGACTGCCATCAATCCAACATAAGCAGAATACATTTTTGTTTTGAATTCATTTTAATAGCCTAATTTTCTTTGTCATGGAAATGCAAAAACATTCTGAGCTTCCTAATTGATTCCACGAATGACCAAACTTTTAATGGCTACGAGGCTTTATCTTAAATATATAGTTATTTAATATTTTATTACATGTGGTGTGAAATAGACTTAAAATTCCTGACTGAAATGAGAATCCTCTTTTTTGTTTATTGTGAAAATATTGAGCTTCATTATGCAGATCATTGAGTTCTGCTCAAATTCACCCCCATTAGCCTCTTTTGTCTTCCCTCCGTCTCCTACTGGTCCCCTTCTTTTTCTCAAATATAGTCCCCCTTCTGCTTTCCTGTGTGTGTGTGTGTGTGTGTGTGTGTGTGTGTGTGTGTGTGTGTGTGTGTGTAGATTCTGTATATGAGAGAAAGCACGTTTTTCTCTCTGAATCTGCCTTATTTCACTTAAGGCAGATGATCTTCAGATCAGGATGAAAGTTCTCTTTCAAAAAAATTTTTTAATAATTTTTATTTTATATGTATGCTTGTATTGCCTGCATGTGTATAAGCGCACCTGTGTTGTGCAATGCCCACAGAAGACAGGAGAGGGTGTTGGATCCCCTGGAATTGTAGTTATAGATGGTTGTTAGCTACCCTGTGGGTCCTGGAATTCGAACCTGGGTCTTCTGCAAGAAAATCCAGTTCTCTTAACTGCTGAACCATCTCTCCAGCCCCAGGATGAAAATTCTTTAACATTTCCTTATAAGCATTTTTCCTTCTCCTGAAAACTAAGGTGTTTGCAAACCATGACTAATCTCTTTAAACAAAGTACTATAAGGTTGGAAAAAATTATGTTTGCCAAGGAAAACTATAAATATGCTATATTATATACATATTATACATTGCAACTAAGAAGAATGGCATAAAGTCTGTTAAATTCCTCTCAGTATTCCTTCTTAATTTTCAAAGAACAAATCATTGTTGGTTAATGACTTCATTAGGGAATAAAAATTTGTTGGATGGATACCATCTTCATACTAAGAGTCCTGATGGGTTATGAACATTGAAATGGAGTTGGATTTCTCCTCAAGCCACCCACCCTTTCTTTTTCTGAAGAATAACTGAGAGATCATTCTTCTTTTTTAAATATTTTATTTATTATTTTTATTTTATGTGTATGAGTGTATTGCCTGCACATCGGTAAGTGCACCCGTGTCCTGCAATACCCAGGGAGGACAGAAGAGGCCATCACATACCCTGGAACTAGAGTTACAGACAGTTGTTAGCTGCCATGTGGGTGCTGGGATTCGAACCCAGGTCTTCTGCAAGAACAACCAGTGTTCTTAACTGCTGAACCATCTCTGCAGCCCCGAGACCATTTTTTATTGAAGCAGTCTCTTGAATATGTCCACAGTTGTGTTGTGAATTGCTCATAAATGTTTTCACTTACCTGTAAAGCCATGTGTACTCTCATTGATGGAGGGACAGTATAGCTCAGATGACAGAAACCATAATAAGAGCATAAATATCAATGAGACATCGATGATTTGTAGAAGGGAGATAAACATGTGTGTTCAGGTGTGTGCACACATGTGTGTATGTGTGAGTGGAGTCCAGAGGACAATTTGGGGTGCTGTTCCTCAGGTATCTTCCTCCTCTTTGTTGTTGAAACAAGGTCTCTCACTGACCTGGAACCTCCCAAGTAAGCTAGGCTGGATATCCAGCAAGACCCAGCCATTCACACCTGTCTCTGCATCCCTAAAGTTGGGATTCTAAGTGTGCATCACTGAGTATACTTAAACTTTTCTGCCTGAAAATGACTTTTAGAGACCCGAGATTCCCATTCGTTGTGATTAAGAGTCAATCCTAGGCATGGAGAAGGGGAATGTCTCTAATGTTGAAGATATTAAACGAAATTGCCACTATTCCAGAGACAGCGTATGGTGAATCTGCTGCCTCTTAATGGCCTCCAATAGCAGCTGAATCTGGCTTATAAGAGAAAAAGAGGAAACTTACTGGCTCATACAATTAGTTCATAGAAGAAATTAATGTACACATAACAATCAAGGAAATTAAATGGCATCAACATTTCTTTCTCCTCTCTATATCTCAGTAAGTTTTAAAAAACTAATTTATTATTTTTGTTTTATGTGTATGAGTGTATTGCTTGCATATATGTAAGTGCACCCATGTCATGCAATGCATGGTTAACAGTTATAGTGAGACTGAGTGAGAGGTCCATAAATGAAAGCAGAAGAAAGCTTAGGGAGAGGTCGTGTTGAACTTCTGCATTAGTGATAATGGTGATGATTTTTTTCTATTGGAAAGGGGACAGAGGGCATAAAAAAGTCTTGAAAGTTGTTCCCTATTAGTGACTAGATCCAGTTTACTTCTGAAACATAGAGGTAGGACATTGGGTTGACAAAGGGAAGAAGGAGATACGAAAAGAGCCTAGTATCAGATGGGGCAGCACATGCCTTTTGACTCAGGAGGATTATCAGAAGGATCAAGAGTTGCAGACCACCCTGAGCTACATAATGAGACCATGTATTTGTGGGGGGGCGGGGGACACGTTTCTGGTCATTTTGTTGACTCAAGTGGCTAATGCTATTTCTGATCTCTGCTACAATGGGAACTTTTCTAAGGTAGGAGTCCTTCTGTTTATGTATTTTATTTTGCCTTTTAGGTGGACAAGAAAATTGTAAGAACTGAGATAGGAGTTCTACTTCGCCTCTCACATCCGAACATTGTAAGTGTTTTTTTAAGCTTGCTATTTCAAATAGCTTCTCAGTGAGAAGGGGGTCCTTCCTCTCTGGTAGCAACCTGGCCTCATCCGTGGCCTGACCTCATGACTTTTTCAGTCCTTTGGCCGAATAAACTGTACAGAACGGTTCAGTCAGTTTCAGAATGGATGGATTAGCAATACATACCATGCCTCTTTTCATGCATAAAAGGAGAAAGATTGAAGAATTTTGTTTTGCTCTAATGAAACAGCAGCTCCCTCCCTCTTTTGTGCCTACCTTATTAATATGCTATTGTCATAAAAAGCTCATAAAGAAAATACATTGCTTCCTAAAGTCATTTCAGTCTTTGAGAGAGTATCTGCTTCAGAAACAATGTGAAGATGCAAATAAAGGCTATGAATGGGAGAAATAAATGTCCCCAAAACCTCTGCTGTAGGCTGTGTCCAGACAACGCTGCTGTGTCCAGACAACACTGCTGACGAAAATGCCTAGTGAAAAGCCTTTTAGAATCAATGAAGTGAAAAAGAACAAAATCATTTCCAGAGCAATAACTTGATTTTTTTGAATTAAACCATATACTTAAAAAACTATTTTAACCTATTTTTCTCAGAAAGCTGTGCTATCTGTGGGATGAACAAAAACACTTAGGCTCAAGGCAATGTGTACACAACCTGACATATGAGTTAAAGATGCATTTACCTATAAATCAGCAAATACTTTCTTACAAGGAAAAAGAAGGCAGGATTTTATAACACTGTTCAGGGACTTGGTATTGCCACCTCGGATTCAAGCTTCAAGTATCCTGGTCCTGTCATCTTCTCATCCTTGGTACATTGACTTCCAACCTTGTGCTTTTGCTTCACAGCCTTAAAATGACAGCTCTGCATTTTTCCAAATCCTCAGGTTGAAATTCAAGGAAGAAATTGGAAAGATCTCACCACCAGAGTCAGATGAGAAAAGCTGTCTCAGAAATAGCTGCAGCAGAATTCTCTTCAAATTTAACTGGCCAGAGTGAACTAGAAAATTTCCCTTAACTACATTGAGGCTGGTGATCAGAGAACAGCATTGTTATAAGTGACTGAGACCATTTGTCATCCACAATGTGGGGCCAGGCAGCTTGCCTGAACTGAAGCAGAGTTCTCTTTCACTGAAGTGGGGGAAGGGCTTTGAGTGATCGTTACCAAGATTCTTATACTCAATTACTGCTTTCAGGTCATCCTTTCCTCTTCTTTCTAAGGAAGTCAGTGTGGCAATTTGCACACATGTAGATCAGAGCTGACTCCTATATTCTCATATGTCTTCAGACATCTGAGACGTATTTGGATGAAATTTCTGAACTTGATGAAACCCTGATGTGGTCAATCAAATCTCTACTACCTCTCATTCCAAGGAACCTGCACAACCCAGTGACTCTTTTATTTTATTTTTACTTTTCTTATTGAACTTTTAAAATTGCATACAACATTTCCCATTCAAATTCAGACCTCCTTCCCCATTCATGCAAACCCTATGCACTCTGCCATACATGCTGAGTCTCATTCATTCAGGTGTTTGTACCCAAATGTCCTTCAGTATAAATGCGTCCACCGGAGTCTAGTCAGTGCATCCAGTGGTTGTATGTAAGTCATACTCTCCCTCACCCAGCAGCAATCAGTCCTAAATAATTCTCAGTCTAGTCCTAACCCCCCACCTATTTCTCACCTCCCATTTTGGCCCTTGTTTCATTGAGCTGACGTGGGTCCCACATTCTGTGCCACCACTGCCACAGGTTCACATGAGCAAGCCTCCAGTGGCCTGGAACCCTCGACCTCCTTATGTTCATGACCAGCCCTGGCTCTTACAATCTTTCTGCTTCCTCTTGCACAATGGTCCTTGAGCCGTGGGTGGGTGAGGTTCCATATGGGAGTCCTACCCTACACCCTGTACTCTCTTATTCTCTGAAACTTGGCCAGTTGTGGCCTTCTGTGTGCATCGCACTCTGATGTAAATGGAAGCCTCACTGGTGCGAGTAGCTGGGTGCATTAGTGCTCTCTCTACCCCATATTCCACTATATTCCATGAGCCTTGGTTGTAGAGATTCAACTGCAGATGTGTCACCTAGTACTGGGCATCTCCCAGGTGTATGTTCTCTGTCCCTGACCAAATGTGTAACTCTGCAGTAGCCTCCATCTGTTGCAAAAAGAAACTTCTTTGATGAGTGTTGTATGTCATGTTTGTCACTTTAAAGGAGGTCTCTGCTATCTGGCACTGCATTCCCTACCAAGTAGCTCCCAAGTATATATATATATGTATTAATGTTCACACTCTATAGGCATTTCTCATAGCATTTCTAGGGTATCACTTTTCCCTCTAGGTTTCCTAGCTCCCAGAGATTCATTCATTTCTATGCTTTTTTTTTTTTTTTGGTCTTTTTGAGACAGGGTCTCTCTGTAACCCCAGCTGTCCTGGAACTCGCTAGACCAGGGTGGCCTTGAACTCTACTCTTTTTATTAAGTTTTAAAAAGATTTATTGAGAATTTCATACATGCATATAAGGTGTTTTGATCAAATCCATGCCCACTCCCTCCCCTCCAACTCCTCCTATATTTCCTCATTACTTTTTCCTGAACAACTTCATGTATTGTTTCTTTTTATGTGGGGCTTTTTGCTACTCTAATATTCTTGCCTCTGAAGAGGTAACCCTAAAATCTTTTAGGGATTAGATAAGAGCTCCCAAATATTTTTGACAGTTTTGGCCTTTGGAACAGAGTATGTTACTAAAAGGCCCAAGGACATTTTGATTTTTAGCCAAGAAACTGGCTACTTTTCTTTGGGGTCTTTTTACCCTAACTGCCTAGCCAATTCCTACCTCTTATTCTTATCACACCATACCCTGAAGAGGTTACCCAAATTGCCAATAGGGAATAGGGACGCTGACCACTCTGGCTTCTTCCATGCTGAACAGGGATGCAGGGTGAGGCAATTGGGGTACCCCTTCAGTGGGTCTATCTAAAAGACTCCCAAATTGCATAGCTTTTAACTGTAGGGAGAAAAGAAAGTCCTTTACTGGTGCCTAGGAGATGTGAAGGAGAAGTAAAGGCAAGAGTAGTTAGCATTACAAGTTCTAGACAGGGAACCAGAAAAAAGTCAGAACAGGGCAAATTTCAAATGTTCATATGAGAGTACATTGGAATTTCTTGATTACAGCTTCCGAAAGCATCCCTCCATTAGGTTCCTCCTCATTTTCCTTCTGTTTTCCAAGGCTGGACTCGAGAGTGATAGATTCAGGATTTGTTTTCAGGCACTTTGATAGCTCTTGGAGTGGCTAGAATCAGAGTCAGTTCCCTCACAAAGGCTTCTAGATAGGGAGAGAAAACAATTTATCCATCATTTTAGAACAACAGTGGGTTGTCTCCCTTTGCTACAGGTGAGCACTACAGTACTTCAGACCAAGATTTGAAGTCTTACATCTGAGCAGCACTTTGTGATTAGAAACAAAATCCTCAATGAAAAATAACTGTCTAAATAACATTTTATATGTACTTAAGTCTAATGTCTGGGAAACAACCCAGTGACTCTTTAAGTGCTGCAGTGTGCCTTCACATACAGACTGTATTTAACTCAGCCTGTCCTGCCTCAAACCCTAATTCCAAATCCCTTGTTTCCAGGAGAAAGCGCTACTCATCTCTAGTAGCCACATTGTTTTCAAATGGTTTTGTAAATTTGGGTCTTGTTTTTGATTCTAGAAAAAAAATAGAAAAATTGCAGTATTTTTGGTAAAATTTAAGAAGTGTTTTCAAGGAAGTTATTTTTCAACTTTCAAAAGGAAAAAATTACAAAATTAATAGGACCTTTGAAAAAGTAAAGTAACTAACAAAAGCCACAACCCAAAAAGAGACTGGCAAGTATGTACCTAATGCTAGAATGAGGAACATTCACTGACCTGATGGATAAGTTATTAATTCAGTGTTGCTTTATCCATAATTTTAGGCATTTTCAAGAAAGATGAAAATCAGCAACTTGTGATGTTCACTTTTTTGTACATATTTCCCCCCAGATAAAACTTAAGGAAATATTTGAAACTCCAACAGAAATCAGTCTGGTTCTGGAACTCGTCACAGGAGGAGAACTGTTTGACAGGTGAGTTGTACCTATACATCTAAATTGCAGAAGTGTTTGCTTTGGATCACCAGAAAATCAAAGGGAAAATTTCTTGAAAATTTTATAACAAAAGGGTTATGATATTTGACTTATTTTCTTAAAAATCAATTATGAGGGAGTTGGAGAGATGGCTCAGTGGGTAAGAACACTGACTGTTCTTGCTGAAGACCTGGGTTCGAATCCCAGCCCCCACATGGCAGCTAACAACTGTCTATAACTCCAATTCCAGGGGATCTGACAGCCTCTTCTGTCTTCTGCAGGCATTGCACTACATGGATGGACTTACCTACATGCAGGCATAACACTCATACACATAAAATAAAAATAATAAATTCAATATTTTTAAAAATACCAACTATGAGAAGAATGTTGAAAAGAAGTAAATAGTATTTGGAATACTTATTAAAAATGAGAAGAACTATAGTACTCACTTCCACAAACATTTATCTTCAATAAAAGTAGAAATCTTAAAATCATTAAACTTGAACTCAATAGTAAGATTTATGAAAATATTTTTCTTTTGCTTTAAATTATTAATTTTTGTATAGTTTGAGACTTTCATCCATGCATATAATGTGCTTTAATTAAATCCAGCTCCCAACTCTCCCCTTGAATTCTCCTATCCCCTCAATACTTTTCCCTCACAACTTCATGTGATTTGTTTCTAAACCCACTGAGTCTACTTAGTGCTGCCTGTGTGGGTGTGGGTGCAGGACCATCTACTGGAGCATGCATAACCTCTACAGGACCACACCCCCCTGCCCCCAAACTGACACTCACTGCACTAGCAGTCATCATTTGTCCATAGCTACTTGGCTGGAGGTGGGACTTCAGCAGTCTTTCCCCATCCATGCTGGGATTTTTGCCGATTTGATCTTATGCATATAGTCACAGCTGCTATGAGTTCATATGTGCAATGTTTCTGTCAAAACTGGCACAGATGCTGCAGATGTACATTACCTGTAGCTGCTATATTCTTTCTGCCCCCTCTTTGTGATGATCTCTGAGTTTTGGAGGATGAGGATGTGACATAGATATGCCATTCAGAGCTGAGCACTCCACAGTCTCCTGTTCTCTGCATGTTGACAAGTCAGGGGTCCATGTACTAATTACATCTACTACAAAAAGAAGTTGGGTTGAGAGACGCACTAATCTATGGAAATAAAGTAAGAAATTAAGGGGAAGTTTATTAGTATGTCCATTTAGTAGAATAATAATAAAGTTATCGCCTGTGACTTAGCCATGTATGGGTTTTTGGCACAGTTATTTGTACTAGGCGTGAGTTCCTTCTTGAGACGTGGGAACACAAATCTCATCAGAAAGTGATACGCAACTCTCACAACATCCATGCCATGCCACTATTGCACTAGTGGGAAAATCTTGCCAGACCAGTCATCATTGTAGCTCACAGAGTTCAAAGCTGCGTAAGACTACTGATTGCATTCTTTTTTTAAAATAAATAATCTTTTGAGAAATTCATACATTTAGTAGCATATAGGTTTTTAAAATATTCCCTTAAGGGCTGGAGAGAAAGAACACTGGTTGTTCTTACAGAAGACCTGGGTTTGAATCCCAGCACCCACATGGCAGCTAACAACTGCCATAACTCCAGTCCCAGGGGATCCAACAGCCTCTTCTGACCTCCACGGGCATCGCACAGCACGGGTGCACTTGTATACATGCATACAATACACACATACACATAAAATAAAAACTTTAAAAAACTCCTGCTTTTATGTCGTTGGGTTCTGGGGATTTGTAGAGAATGAAGCTCAGCTTGTGATGTTTCCCCTTTCATTTCTGATTTTGTTGATTTGGATTTGCTCTTTCTTTCTTTTGGTTAACTGGACTAAGGGTCTGCCTATCTTGTTTAGCTTTTCAAAGAACTTGCTCTTAAATTGATTCTTTGTATTGTTTTCTTTGTTTCTATTTCATTAATTTCTGCTCTGATTTTTGTTATTTCTTCTCTTCTGCTGGGTTTAAGTTTCATTTGTTCTTGCCTTTCTAGTGTCTTGAGTTGCAGTGCTAGGTCATTTATTTGGGCTATTTCTAATTTCTTAATGTAGGCACTTAGAGCTATAAACTTCCTTCTTAGGACTGCTTTTAAAGCATCCCAGAGGTTGTGTTTTCTTGTATTGTTCTTTTTGTTAGTTTCCAGGAATTCTTTAATTTCTTTCTTAATTTCTCTTTTGACCCACTCTTTGTTTAGGAGTGTGTTGTTTAATCCCCACGAGTTCGTGTAGTGACCAGGTCTTTGTCCAGTGTTGATTTTCAGCTTTATTGTGGTCTGATAGAATACATGGAATTATTTCAATTTTATTTGTATTTATTGAGGTTTGTTTTGTGGCCCAGTATGTGGCCAATTTGGGAAAAAATTCCATGGGGTGCTGAGTAGAAAGTGTATTCTTTGGTGCTTGGGTGGAATATTCAAAAGATATCTGTTAGGCACATTTGATGTACAGTATCATTTAATTTAGACATCTCTGTTTATTCTTTGTCCAGTTGACCCTGTCTAATGGAGACAGTGGGGTTCTGAAGTCCTCTACTATTACTGAGTTGGGGTTGATCTGCATCTTAAAGTCCTATAGTGTTGTTTTTATGAATTTGGGTGTACCAGAGTTTGGTGCATATATGTTAAGGATTGTAATATCTTCTTGGTTAACTGTTCCTTTGATCAGAATGAAAT